AAAAAACTTTGCTAAAGAGTTTCAATTAGTTAGGACAGGGAGATACCTCACCAGAGGTCTTTTAAAAACAGCTTCTGGAATCTGGAAAGATGGTTCATCCTGTAAAGTCTTTGTCAAAGAAATAAGGAGAGGAACTCAGTTTGGATTTCCAACACCCACATAAAAAGCCAGATATGTTAGTGTATATTTATAATCTCAGAACTAGTGAGGTAGAGACAGGAGAAGCACAGGTACTTGCTGGCCAGCTAGTCTAGCTGATTCATTACACTCCAGGCTCAGTGAGAGGGTTGACGGGAGGGGAAGGTAAAGGAGTGAATTATGGGGATGGACTACTAATAATGAAGACCACTGAAAATCTCATATGAAAACACACTACTGAAGACACCATCTAAAATACATGCATTTACATGCGTCAAAGGGGCTTAAATGGAGTGGGTAACGCTGACAATGCCTCCTCAGATATCATAGAGTATCAAATAAAAAGCCCAGTGTCAAGTAGAGGCTAGCTGTTTTTGAACTGTTGATCAGTATGATCCCAAGAGCACCTTCCCCCGTGAGCTTCACTGACAACTGACCTGGCAAGAGATGCATGCACAAAACCTGCACAAGATCAAGCCAGACAAAATTCCAGCATGGACAAGGGGAGGGTTACATGAAGTCCTACCCCCAGCTGAGAAGCTATTGACGGCTGCTTGGGGAGGAAGAGTCCTTTTTCTTCAGAGATAACAGCTGGAGAGACCGTCCCTGCCCCAGTAAGTAGATGACCCTACGCGCATGCACATACATGCAGCAATAAAGGGACATAGTGGATTCTTTTTAAAAAAGCACATGAAGTCAGGAGGGAAAGTGTGTGTGGTGGGACTAAGAAAGGAATATATGGGGAGTGGGTTTAATCAAAACACATTATATACAAGTTTGAAATTCTTAAATAAAAAAGTTAAATAAGGGGGACAGTGAGTGAGGAAGATACCAACTATTAACCTCTGATTTTCACAGGCACAAATACCAACACACACACACACACACACACACACACACACACACACACACAATCTAGCTTTATAAATCCTTTTCTAGGTGGTAAACTATAGCTTTTCAGAGGAAATACATGATTTTTCTTCTAGGCCTATAAGTTTCAATGCCACATTAAGACTAAATTTGAATTGCAAAATTATCTAAGTATTGAAAGTACTTTTCTAACACAACCTTGGAATTTGGAATTTTTCATAATAGACTACATGCATTGTTCTTCACAGTACACTTTATTTTTCAGCTTTAATAGTACTTATACTATCCTTGAACTGAAATTTTGTCAATTACATATACCAAGTTATGAACTTACCATTGTTGTTTCTTGAATGGATCCAAAGCTGTTAATAAAAATATTGACTACTACATCAACAGGAATGCCTATGAATAAAAAGTAAAGAGGTATTTAGCAGCTTCAAAATCTGTCAGAATTTTCATAATATAATGTATATATTTAATTTTTGTACTTTTAAATCCCTATTCAGATGCAAAATCCTTGTTCTTAATATATGCTCACAATTGCTATTAACTTAGTTTTCTAAGTAGAAATGATAATACAAATAAGAAACAGTTGAGTTATAATTTATTGTACTCATTATTCAGAAATATTTCTCTTTTAAATTGCATAAGCTCTGGAAAATATATTTTAACTGGCTTGTTGTGTAATTTAATGATGTATTAAGTTACTCTTTAAAATGTCACTTTTAAAATAGATTTTTTCCACTTTTTAATCATTTCAATTTTTAGATTAATTGGTATAACAGTATTCAATAATTTAATCAATAATTGCTATATATTCATTTTATTTCATGAAAACACAAAGCTAGTCAGAGTTACAGTGAAACCATTATAAAGATTTTTGTCTGACCTGTTCAAAAATAATTTGAAAGTTCATGGAGTAAGAACAAAGGTATAATGTTGCAAATTTCTTTCTTTCCTTTTTTTCCCTCTTTTTTAACTCATTGTGCCTATCAAAGGGAAAATGTGAATTTAGCCTTTAGCCTCATAAGCACTGTGTGATGAAAAACAGGTGGTGAATGAAAGCATGGTAGGCATGTGACAACCCAGACTGTGGCTGCTGTTGAAAGTAACTGAATAGGTTCTGGTTATGAACAAAACCTCTGTTTTTACAACATAGCTGTATAACTTCAGTTGACTAGAAGCAGCTGCAGACTTTTTTTTTCCTGCAAAGGGGAGAAAAAAAATCAAGCCTTAAAATGTTAATCTGATCTACATTAATATCTGTCCTTAACCGACAAGAATGATTATAGTCTTCCAGAGCACATTTTTCTTATAAACTTTTAGAATGAAGAAAAAATGGATTTTTAAAAAGGTTTATAATAAACCTAGAATCTGTTCATAAAATTTTTCAAGTATGGCTTTTTCCTTGAAGGTGTGACAAATGGTACTATTTTGTGGGAATAAATATAACCTCTGTTGTAGAACACATATTTATTCATAAAGCTAGCATGTTTTTATAAACCAAATGAGCATCTCTTTTCATCAAAAGAAGGCATTTTAATCAATATGAGATAACAAAAGAAAGAGGGAATTTATATACATATCAGAATTGTTCGTTTTCCCTATGGGAAAAAATGGTTGTTCTATAAATTATAAATTTTATAACAAAGAAGGAAAGTCAGATCTGTACGTAGGAGCCTGAATTTTATATCACTAAGTTAAAGAACACACAATACTCAGGAAATCTGTATCAGTGGTCAGTTTAACAATTCAATTCATAGGATACACTTTTTCACTTTTTTCAACTGTATAAAATATTTGAATTTTTTTCTTATTCATGAAAATTTTAGTGTGCTGTGAACCTAAGCATACTGCAGAGAGTTGTATGTCAATTTGAAATCATATTGTTTTAAAACACAAGCCTCACTTTATAGAGGTAAAATTAACTTCTAAACTATGAAGAATGAAGGGATTTGTGGGGGCAGGGTGACAACAAACCTTTGAAATTTGGCCGTATCCTGGGATCATAACTGACCAGCAGCCTGTTCAAGATATTGCTGGTGGAGTTGGGGGGCACTCGTGCAAGGTCCTCTGGGGACTGCTGACTAGATGGGGGAAGAAAAAGAGGCTGCTAAGAATTAAGAAATGGCAAGAAACATAAAAAGATGATTTTCTTTGGGAGAAATGACTTGTCATTTTTAGACAATTATATGGCTTTAAAAATTTCTAAATAGAAATGAAAAGTTGCAACCACTATCAGAGTCCAAGAGGAATTTGTATAAAATATCAAAAAAAAAATTTTAGCATTTTATTTTACTAACTGCATAAAATATTGTTCTCAAATATCTTCCTCAATAAAATTAAGTAGATTTCTTACTTATCTTAAAGGAAAGCAATAAGCTCTGCAAGCCAGTAAGACAGCAAAGGATGTCTTTTGAACAACAATACCACTGATTTTCTATAGAAGCCAAGAATGTGAAAACACTCTAATGTGGTCAGAGACTGTCAAGAATTCATAAGACAATCATGCTGACATTTATAAAATGATATCCACCCCAAAACCAATGAATATTCTCCCTGCTAAATGACACAACTGTCACCCAAGAGGGAAACTGATAAAAGTAGTCTTCTTGCTGTTTGTGTTTTTATATTAGATGGAATCTCGCTGAAATGGGCCAATAGCCCATGGAAAACAGATGATGCAGAGACCCGAAAGTTCAGTGCCTTTCCACAATGAGAGGAAGATCATCCTCACACCTATCACTCCCTCCAAGGCTCAGGGACTTTTGCAGAAGAGGTTGGCAGAAAGAATGTAAGACCAGAGGAAGGGGTGGAGTGTTAATGGGAAGTGTCGCCAGACCACCCTAACGGCAAGCTGTAGTCATGCTTCCTTTCCAACCTCATCAAGGAGTTGAGGGGGAAGTCACTCCCCTCTTCCACCCAATTAGTCGACCTTAGCTGCATGTGGGGAGGAGCTAAGATATACAAGCCAAGAATGCCATAAGGCACCCCTCTTGCCATTTTATGCAGCTGTGGGAAGTCACAGGATCTATATTTGAGTGTAGACTTTCTAAGACAGAGTTGTAAATCGGGGAGGGCACTCTTCTGTAAATAAACCCACACTGTATACTCTGTTAGCAAGCCACTTAAACTCGTTAGCATTAAAAAAGAAAAGAAGAAGAGGAAGAGGAAGAAGAAGGGGAAGAGGAGGAAGAGGAGGAGGAGGAGGGGGGGGAGCTAATGGAAACCTTCATTATGCCACCATAGTTGACCCCAGGTTGGCAAAACCTTTGGTCTTTTATTTCTTTATTCCTACTTTTCCCATCTTAAATTTCATTGAATATATATTTTTATGTAACCTGCTTCAAGTTATTTCTGAAAAAATGTGTTAAAAATTGAATCTCCTATATAACAAGAAACAATGCTAGACAGAAGATACCTTCCTTTGAGTTACTGTCCAGGGTATCCCAAGAGACTCCCAGATAGTAACCCAGCATAGAACTGGAAAAATGAACAGCAGACCCCAATCTTATCTAGAGGAATGTTGGCAACTGATTGCTGCTAGATGAGGAAGAGCTGTTCTTCCTGAAACATGGAACTCTGGATAGGCTGACTAGACTCAGTGGATGGACTCATCATCACTGGGTAATGGCTGGGGGCACTGATAACACAGTGGACAGTAACAGAGATGACAGAGTATATAGGCTCCAGTGTGGGGCAGAGGGAAGTTATGGGAGGGTGCCATTTGGCATGCGGGTATAAAGATGAATAAGATTGTTTGGGATGTTCTGTATGAAACACACAAAAAAATCAATCAATAAAAAATGAGTTTAAAAAATTTCCTCTCTTCGAAATAATAAAAATATTTGAAAATTTTAAAAAAGAAAAAAAAGTAGTCTATTGTCACATCAGTGAAACAAATGAAGCACTACAGAACTCTAAGACAAAACTCCCATAGATTTTCTGTATGCATTTGGCATCAGCTCTTTATTGGGAAGAGGGAAATCTATTTTCCTATTTTAATAATCTCAAAAATGAGCCATGACTAACTTGGTGATTTGACAGCACTTTTTTAAAAAGGAACTTCCTTGGGTCCCAAGGGACAATGTTCCATTGTTTTTGCTAGTTTTAACACCCATAAAGTTTTACTCATACAGTCATTTTAACTCAATAGCAAAACAAAAGCTCCATAATGATCACAGAAAGATTAAAAGGAGAGAACACCTGGCATAGTCTACTATGTAGTGATATGGTAACAAGTCATATTAATTAATGTGAAGCAAACGTTGATGTAACTGGCTTGATTTTGTGCCAAAATCAAATCTCCTACTAAGCCAGACTCTTCTGATAAAATGAAGCACTACAGATGAATATGACAGAAACACAGCTTTATGAAAAAAATCTAAATAGACTATGAATTGCTATGGCCATAATGCAAAACACTAAGCAAAAAAATGATAATCAATTAGTTAAATTTCCCAAAGGTGCTGGAGGTTGCATAGATTTTTAAATTGCTTCTCTTGGCCTTATTAGCTTGAATATCACACATTCAGGGATCTGCACACTGCTAATGAGATTTTCTATTTGACTGCAGGTAAAGTTGTAACCTCCTTAAGGAGCAATTGTCATTACTTATCAAAAGATTAGACACTTTAAGGAAAATGAGACTATGGGGAAGAATTGGATTTTAATATGCAAATTAGTGTTCAATCCTAGCTCCAGGTTTTCTCATTCAAGGAAGGAAAATAGAATTAATTCTGAACTATACTTGTATTAAGTCATTTAAAGACTGCTATTATTGTGTTTCTTGAAACAAAAACCTTTATAAATACATTCCTTCCACAATGAAAAGAGAGCATAAAGACAATTAACATTAATTTTCTTGTTTAGAACTTTCTGGACACTGGTTTTCATTCCACTTATGAACTGTGCTAACCAAGCTCTAATCCCAGCACTCTCATAGCAAATATTTCCTTCCTCTAAACACTGGTCTAGACTCAGTTCCATTCATTGAACAGTGTAACTCCCATTTTAATTGAACTAATCTAACTTGTCCTTAAAATTGCCTTAACCTTCATCTCTTCTCTAAAATTTTGCCTCAATTATCCCACTGTACTCCAACTAACACCAACTAATAAATACATCATTTGAAAATAATTTTGTAGCTTTTCCCTATTATCTATGTGTAGGGAACCAACTAGATATAACACAGATGCTCCAAGTATGAAGGGACTTGTGGCTTCTGACATCTTGGAGATCCCTGCACTACTTGGCATTAAGTGCACATTGATTCCAGCATTTCCATGTGTCTTGAAGGTTCAGATCAGTGCTCCAGTATGGAATGTGTATTAAAGACATGACCTTTGGGTCCACTTCAGTCTTTCATCTGATAAACAGACAGAAATGATATTAACTCCTATCAAGCTGTTTTCTTAGTAGCGAGAAAGAGAAAAACAAAGTGATGAAGAGTGAGCTAGGGGTAAGAGAGTTCATCAGTAGCCCCAGAACATAATGATAACGGTAGTAATAATAAGAAATTGTAGTAATGATAAATTAATACATTTATGTTGGGCCTGGTTCCAACTCCTAGTTGAATTCTCACTCTGTAGTAAGCCTGACAAAGTGGGAGGACATTGTCATTGTCAAAAATCAAAACGACAGCATTAGCGGTTTCACATTAACTGCTCAGACTTTCAGTTATACAATTAGGGAAAACTTTAAACCATAAATAGAATAAAGTTTCCTTACAATTAAAAACGAGATCTTGTTTTTTAGCAACCAAAGCTGAACATCACTTAGTAGAATCACTTGAAAATGAAGCACATAAAGAAAAAATTAAATATTTTTAATCCCAATTTTTATTCGTATTTGTGCCACTATAACTTGACCTATTAGTAAGTAGTTCAACTTTCTTCGTTAGAAATTCAGAGACATTTTAGTGTGTAAAGAAATCCTATGTAGTTTATATTCAAATACAGGAATTCAGAGTTTTCCCCCTAATTAAAAAATAGTAATCATATATTTTAGATCATCAGTACTGAAACCATATTAAAATAATCTCTACTGATAAAAATGTTTATTTTGAGGGATCAAATGGGTGCTGCCACACTTTCTCCTGAAAACAAAAGCAATTTGAATGCAGTGTATTTGTCCTATGGGTGTGTGTAATACTCTACACTTCACAAGTGTGTGTTAGTGATATTTATGTAAAAGAAGCAGGAGAAAAATTAAGTGATTTTATGTGGACCAACTATTAATGGCTTCATTATTGAGTATTCGTATTTTGAATCTTTTCCAGTTTTGTGCTGGTTTAGCCATTTGACTACTTCACTTTATGTTAACAAATCTACCAACAATTCCAATACATTATGAAGCAGGATTTATTTCTTAGAAATATGATATTAATTTAAGACAAGAACCCACTCGGGCAAAGTGATCAAATGACTAGAGAAAACATCTTATAGCAAAAGCCATTCCTCTTTTGTTCACTTGCAGAAACATGAACCAATCCATTACTACTATGTAAAGTTATGTAAGGAATGCATTAGGCTGTATGGTGGTGTGATGTAATGCTTTCCAGTCCTAAAAGAAAAGTCCAGAAAATCCTTCCTAAATGGAGAGGCTCAGTTTTCCATTTACTACAGAATATTCCTATTGCTACCTGTCCCTTCACGGAGCAGTTAAAAACAGATATGTATGAGCATTTTCTCCCACAAAACAGTATTCTGAGTCCAAAGGATTGCCTTATTTTCCATGGCATTATAAATGCAGTAAAATGGTCAAGGGATTTCTCAGGCCTGAATGCACTGTGGCACATGTCAGTGTGAGCCACTTACATGGAAGCTGCTCTCGACATGACCTAAAGCAAGTACAAAGCCACAGGTGTATGGGAAGAAGGGTACACAGAAATCACAAGCTGTGGCATTTCTTTCCTTTACAGTGATTCTGCTCCTCCTTGTTGGGTAAGACACTACTAAGAAACTGATGAAAGAAAGCTATGTACTTCCCAGACAATATACACAAGTATGATTCTGGGGGTCTTGGACCTGCACACTACAGGTTAGGAAAGCCTCCTTCACAGAAGCAAATGTAATCACCCACTTCC